CTTCGGAAGAAAAAACAAACAAATTCGCACACATTTGTAACATGTTGTGTATATTAATACTAACAGGTTTCAAATAAACTATTTATTTAAAAATAAACATGTAATCTTTTGAGAGGATTTGTATATTGATACTAACAGGTTACAAATAAACTATTTATTTTTAAAAAAGACGTAATCTTTTGAGAGGATGAAATAATTGCTCTCTTAACAATTTTCCTTAGTATTTCATTTAGGATTAGGATAGAACTTGTTTAGTAACAGATCAACCAAGTTGTCGAACAGTTGTTTTGTTTAGTTTGGCGTGTAGTTTGTTTATGAGATTATTTATTAGTAGTATAGCTTATTAAGAGACTTAACTTCACATAAATCACACAGACCCAACTGAAGATTGGCAAGTTGCCGAATTGCGTCTTACTGTCCAACACAGCACTGAATAGGCAGACCAAAAGGATCAGTAACGACCAAATTTCATATAAATTTGTGTTCAATTGTCATTTACTTTCTTTGTGAGTTTATGTATAATTTATAGGGTGGGGCTATTTTCATCAATTGTAGTCAAAAAGAAGAGTTTAACGATATAAAAAACACAAGCTGAAGAAGGCGCTTTTCTGGATGATTTATTCATAAATGAATAGTCAATTACATACAAGGAAAACTGAATGAACTCTATGCACACTGTACACTGGTCCAGTATGAAACTGCCAGAATACAAATGTTTCAATTCTGGTAAACTCCAGTGCGACGTATTAATCGGTCGGCCCGATCCTTACTGATTTATCTTCTCGGAAATATATTTTGTAATAGTTGCCTAGTCACCTGCCGTCGGGCGGTCAGCTTTTAGTCGGACAGTCTGTGTGATTTCTCGTCGGTGAGATCAAAAGGACCGTGCAGGTAACACCTCTACCGTTTTTACAAATAACACCTATCCCCTCTGACGCGGGAACAACACTCCAGGCATATGCCCTCTGCAATTTCGCTTTTTGCCCCCGGTGACCGGATGTTATTGACGAGGAAGAACCGAATAACGACGACCAAGGTGTGAAAAAACGCATCGGAAAAAATATATGAGGGCAAATAAAGTTATTAGATACAGGTATGTTATTTTTACACCTTGGCCTTTGTTGAATTAAAACCTTTGGGTTTTTCTCTTTCCACTCTGAGTGGGTTCAGGACGACTTGGTTGCCAATATTTGTTTTGAAACTCTATCGTACTCATTCAAAGACGAAGTATTCTATTATTTAATCCTACCAAGGTAAATAGATACATTTGTCATATGTATATGGGTATTCTTATCCCAGATTTATATTATAATAAAGAGATTTAGTTGGTGTTGGTTGGTTTGAGAGTGGATAAAGTCATAAAGGATCATTAAACATTAAATTTGACATTAAATATTCAACATCAAATTTATTAACAATTTACAAAGTCCTTCTATTTTCGCTGGTTTACGTTTAGCCCGAACTCTTCTGTTTCACAGTCCATCATTGAAGAAGGCTGAAACGCGTCCAACGGGAACCAACGAGAAAATACGGACCCAGTGCAGTTTAACAAAAAAAAACAAAAAAATGCAATGGTTTATTCTCATTGCGTGGGTATGTCGGTAAATTTTTCGAGTTCACAGCTCAAAAACATGTCCATGATTCAATGTTTTTTTGTGAATCGGAGGAAATATGTGAGAGTGCGAGAGCGCCCCAACATGGTTCGGCTCTCCTCGAAGGAAGAAAAATCCAAAAGACAAATTTAATTTGAGAGATCAAGAATAACGACGACCATAAGTAAAATAAAGTGTGATTTGGACAACGCAATGCATGGTTCAAATTAATTAATGGTCTCAAATGTCAGTAAATTTATTCTTATATGACGGATGCTTTTTCTTCAGCAACATGTGTTACACACCGTAACCATTAGTATTTCCATTTTATAGGATAGGAGCAGGAAGATGAATGAAGAAACGAAAAGAAGAAAAGAATTGAAACATTTCTTTAGTATATTAAAAAAGTTTGGCTGAAGTGTGAAATGGAGACGAACTTATACGATTTTAATGAGGTATAAAGAGAAAAAGACCCCGGAGAGGGAAAACGCAACGTTTAATAGAACACCATCTTCAAATACATAGGGAGGGTATCAATAAAGGGGAAGAAAAGTACAGACAGGAGTTCCAACTGCAGAGAAAAAAACTTTAAGGAGAAATTTCTTAATACGGAAGCACAATTTGTTTTAATATTATATACTGATTTAAATATATAGATTAACATTAAAAAAATTAATTACAAATTAAAATTTTTCATTTTATATTAATAAGTTCTATCAATGGCAAGAAACAATACAATTTTGCTTACTAATAAAACACTAAAAAAGCTGATTTTAAAGATTTTAAGTTTGCAAATAGAACTAATGGATTTTGCTTCAGACAGTTGTATTCTTGTATAATCTAACACATACATTCCGATTTGAAACTGACATCTTTGACATCTTATCTCAGTTGTGGGACTTGTTTTCCGTTCACTTTTTCATCGGTGAAAAGATCATCATTCGCCAATCGGCTGACATGATAAATTGACCTTTTTATTATTCCAAAGCCCGGTCAAGTTACGAAAAAGGTCCTGCCAATTTTGAAAATCATGCCGGTTCTCTTCTCGAACAGGATCAGATTATTTTGCCCATTGCATCGATAACAAATCCAGAAAGGAAAATCATTTAAATTTTTTTGTTCACACTTGGTATGAATTGTTTTATGCTTTATTTATATTAGCAGGCCAATATTCTTCCCCCCATCCTATCATATAAAATTCTGAATATCTTGCTTGTATAAATATTTTATAAGACCGTATCCAAGAAATATTACGATGCCGATATAGTTTGATTTAAAATAATAGATTGTGCAGATAATCAATTACCAAAACTGAAAGAAAACAAAACTAAGTAATTGTAATAATTTAACGTTAAAGCATAAAATTTTATAACATTGAATGGCGGTGATTTTAAACAATAGAGCAAACAAAAACATAGGTGATATAATAATTGGTACAAAAATGTTATACATTTTTCACAAGTAATTTATTTGTTGCTTGTACGTATGAAATACATATTACAAATATGTGCATATGTTTTCTCTCCTGTCACAACACTGACCCTGCTCCGAGTGGTATGTTGAGTGTAGATAGGAATTCTGCAGTAGTGTTAGAATGGATTGAAAACTTGGTGTGAATCTTGTAGAAGCGGGATCGGAACACAAATTTATCTGAAATTTGGTCATTACCAATAATTTGGATTTGGCTGTGTTGGCCCTTCAGACGAGTTTCGGCATGTCGCCTTCTTCAATGTAGTGTAATTTGTGTGGTCAAGTGACTTAACAAACATTTCTCATAAAGAAAATACAAAAGTACAAGCCAAACAGAAAAAAAATTTCTGGTCCGGCAACGTAGTTGATTCGTTAAGAGGCAAGCTTCGCTCTAATCCTTTATGAAACACTAAAGAAAATCGTAAAAAGAGCAATTGTTACATCCTCTCAAAAGGTGACCAGTTTTTAAAATAAATAATTTATTTGTAACGTTTATAATACATTTTAAAATAGATATATGTTACAAATATGTACGTATTTGTTTGTTTTTTCTTCCGGTCACAACACCCGGAAGACACAGGATTTTGAGGCTACAGGGCGGGTTCTGAGGATGAGAAAGTGTAGAAATTGCTTGGGCATTATGATTAGGATCGTTCGAGAGCTTGGTATAGGATTTTTTAATTGGATCTGTTTGTTTATTGCAACTGTTAAAGAACGTAGAGGTTGTTGAGGATATTGAGGTTAGTGAAGTAATAATGAACTTGGGCAATTAGTGTGAGGACATTTGATTGGAAGGATTTGATGCGCTGGATATTGGATGATTTACCCCACTTGTGGGCGGGAATTCGAGGCACTGTACTGACAAGGTATAAAGTGTCTGGTTAAGTAGCTCTCTCGTTGTTGACGTACAGTGATAGTAAAGGCTTTTATTCAAAGTAAATATGCACTGGGTAAATTTTTCCTTATTCAGTTTTGTCCTCTGCTATTTGTATCAGCCCGATAAACTCAAGTTTTAATAGAATGATCGATGTTGCTTCATTAGGATTCGGGTTAGCTGACTGATCTGGGGTGTCATCAGCACAGGTGATGTTGGGATGTCAGAAGCATAAATGGTATAAATGGGACCAAGAATGTTCCCTTGCGGGTCGCCGGGTTGTATTGGTTTGAAATCTGAGTATTCGTTCCCTGCACCTCGGGGAGTATACCGGGAGTAGGTATAGAGCGTTTAAATGTATACAGACATGCTGAGTGCCCGACCCTATAAAAATCTAGGCCACATCCAAGAACGCACCCAAGCAATACTCTATCTTCTCCAGAGCAGAGGAAATAGTGACAATGACTATGAAACTTTGTTGGATAATGGGATGTCAGGGACCGAATGATTCTTTGTGAATCATTGGGTCGGTATGCAATGTAGGGTGGGTTTTAAAGTTTTAATGAAATCTTTCGAAAAGTTTGGACATCGCAGAAAGAAGGTTCATAGGTTTGTAGATAACATGTGGTTGAGAGGTTGCGTTGAGAGGTTGTTGTGACCTTTAAGAATGAAATAATCTCGGAATATTGGGAGAAAGTGTATGGTACTTATGATTGGGTTGTATTGTAGTTAAAAACACTATAACTTTCTGTCGATGGTTTCGCAGTATGATGGAGGTAAGTAGGCCAAATTCATAAAAATAATTTATGATTCATTATTATCTCGTCATTAAAATGGCACTACATTATCGTTTAGGTATAAAATGTTTTATTTTTCCGAAATACTGCTGATCTTCCCTCCTGCACCCAGATATTCCTTTACTGATATTGTCTTGCCTCCACTGTTTTCTTTTATAAAGTCCCGTTTGCATCCTTTTTTCACATTCGACCTGGGTCTTGGGATTTCAAAGGAATAATTTCTCTTTTTCCCTTTATTTTCAGGTTCGATAATAAACAAAACACATGTATTTATTATTAGTTTATTTTATAATACTGTTAGGAGCAAAATACATTCATAGCTGTACTCGCTGCTTAATAGCTTTAAAAAACAAAAAAATAAAATACAAAAAGAGGAAACTGTACAAAAAAATTATATTAAAATAAAAACTTAAAACAGGGTTAATGTGCGGTCAACTGATGACTCGACCTTACGCCTAGATTATTATTACAATGGACATGTATAAATAAAATGTTTATACAAAAAGATTCTAACGCAAATGATCAAATCTACACTAATATTCACAAATACTTAAATTGTCAATACATAATAGCAGCTAGCTAATATACAATACTTAACATATATGCAGATCAGTCTATTTTGGTAATCATATGTTACATATTTGTGATTCGTGACTTTGTAAACTTTTTTCCAACCTCTCTCGTTTTTTAAATTACTTTCAACCAGTGAAAATCTGCCCTGCTGCTAATACATATAGGTGAAATGCGGTGACTAAAAGGAGTGCGTAGTTTATTGTGTTTTTTTAAATATTTATTTAATTTCTAGAAAAACATCTCTTTTTGTTCGATGAATTAATTTTTTTAAATTAATTTTTAATATAAACTGCCATAATACTGCAAGCCTTTACATTTTTTTTCCAAAATTACTTTATTTACACTCCATTTCCTTACAATCAATTTTTCTAACCTAGAACTGGGAACACATCAAAATAGTTAACATTCTTCAAACAGCTTCATTCTTAAGCTTTTTGGACCAATGTTTGAATCGAACACTTTCATTATGTTATTATTGTTGTTTAAAAAACACCGAAATTTTCAAGCTGTGTCACTAAATTTCCATTGAGTCGTATCGGCCGGAATAAAATTCCAAGTAAGAGGGCCCATTTATTTCTGCCGAGCACGAGATATTTAACGCTAACATTGTATTGGATCTATTACCAAAACACACATAATAAATAGTTATAACAATCAGCACAATTACACTGCTTACATACGGTATTCTTATACACAACATTAAAAATCTATTATTACTAATTGATCTATAATACAAAAATTGTACACAAAATAGCCCAAGGCGACATCGAACATCTCTCATTTGCATTTTTAAATAAATTAAAAAAAGAAAACAAAATGAATAAAAAAATAAAATAAAACAAAAGTTAACTTAATACAAAATCATGAAATATCTGCGATTATGTACATCAGCACACCAGCCGTCGGGGTGGACCGCGGCACAAAAAGCTTGCAATAAATACTGAACCGTTTAACATCAACTCGGCCACTTCAAGCATTCGACGAAGAAACGAATAATAAATCAACTTATTTTTTCTAGTTTGAATGGTCAGAGATAGTTCTTAAAGATTGGTAAAAGCATGTGAATCTAGCAATTCAGAAATTTTAATGTTTTATATCAAAATTTGTAACTTACGGCAAATTTTTTATTAAAAAAAAAAAAAAAAAAATAGCGGTGGCATAAATTTTAATTCGAACAACACGAGTCAAATGGTGAAATCAATAAAGGATTTTTTTCTGTCATTTCCCAGGTTCCAAATGATTCTTACGGCGAAAAAATGTTCATTTTATATCTTAATTTTTAGAAGGTACCATAATTTTTCTAATAATTAATAAATAAGAGAATTAATAGATTCTTCCTGAACAAGAACTAAATTATATTTGGCTAGAAAATGAAAAAAAATCGCATGTTTACATTGCGATATTTTTTAATGTCAAATTTATCTTGAATTTGCTCATTAATTGCAACTAAATTTAGCTTTGAACTTTACATTAAATAAATCGTTTTGCTTAGGCACAATTAGATATACATTTGTATACACATTTGAACATTTCAGCGGTTTGGTTCATAACTTAAAAACGTATTAGGTCCGCAGGATTTCGTCTGTGGTCTAGACGTGATACAGTGAGAACCGACGGACCCAATCGCTCATAATACTGTCATCGAATTCATTCCGAATGCTGAAAGTGGCAGAGTTGTGCAGGATCGGCCCCTATCGAGAGGCAACGTCGCCTTTGTCCGAGTTCCGAATTTGGATTTCGGAGAGAGGGAGTTGCTAGTGAAACCGTGTCGGTTTTATTGTCAGTAACAGCGTTTTTTTCCAATCGAGTGTGTCGTCTATAAATTACAATTTTGGGAGGTGGGATGGTTTTTGAAATTTCTTATTCCGTCTTACCGTAATTGTTTACCGCTCTGTTCATCATCTTAAATCTATTTACAACATTTTTGTTGTTCGATTCCTATGCCTTTTGTGGTGATGCCTGACGGATGGCGTCATCTTGGACGGCCTGTTCTTCTGGTGATACTTGAGGATTTCCTTAGCGGCTGCGTCGGTGATTTTCGGAGAGTTCTTCGAGATGTGCCTGTTGTGTGCACCGACGTCGACGCCGGACACCTTGATGAAGTTGTAGCAGCCCTTGGCCCGCAGGGTCTCGAGTTTTTTCTTCGGCGGGTTCCTCAACGGCTTCCCGTTCGGCAGAAAGCCAATCTGACGCGGGGGACTGCCCGTTGAGACGAATTGATGGTAATTGTTTTCTATACCTTCTCTGAAGTAACAACTGAACCGGAGCTCTTCGATACTTGATCTCTGCAAAACAAAAACAAACAAGTATTGTAGATTAAAAATCAAGGCAGTTAATTAATCAGTAATTATATTGGTATATTATATTTCAATAAAAAGCTCATTATTGTCAGTCACAATTTGGATGATATTATTAGTCTATTAATAGAATATACGGTGTTAGATAAATAATTTATTGTATTTGAACTGTCCTATTTACATCACTGTCCAATTGGTGTCTTAAATAACCCTTATTGCGAACTTTCAAAAATAATTTTCTTTGCCATCTTATTTCTTTATCGTGCCAACGTTTCGATCATCTTGAGGCCTCAAAGTGTTTGTTTTCCGTGTAGATGCGTCATTCTTGTGAGTTATTTCTTTAGTTTCTTCAACCAAACCTATGCCTGGCGTCTAATTAAAGGAAACTATCAAGAAAAAGTTAGAATGTTGGCATGGCAAATCAACATTGCTTTTTCGGTGATAGGGCAAAAATACAATACTACCGAAAAAGGATAATAATAAGTTGAACAACTTTGTCTAGCGGCAAAATTTCGTTTCTTTAAAAAAAACAAAAAAAAAACAAAAAAAACAAGTGATTATTCTGATGTTATGCTAATGTTATGCTAAGACTACCGATGAGACAAAAGCACATGTAAATAATTAATTATCCCTCTATTGAATTCGATCAATGAGAGCTCCAACGTTCCCTCAACACACGTCCTGTTTTCTCACAAAACAACCGTCAAATACGACGGAACGATATTTAGGTTTAAATTATTCGAAAAAACTTGCGATGTTCGTAAATATAGTTTTTGGGAATTATTTAGAATGATATTACTTTGGTCCTTTCGTGTTTTATGACGTGCGATAAATAAACAATAAATGTTCTGAACACTTACCCCGACTAATTTGCCCCGCTTGTTGAGGCATATGTACTTCCTCGCGTTCACGGCGAAAATCGTGAAGCTGGCGCTATGATTGTGAGATCGCATTTTCATGTTTACTGTAACAAAAATCAAACAAACAAATTAGTTGAAAACCGGAGACAAACAAACAAACAAAAAAGGAAAAAACAACAAAAAGTCAAAAGTCGACATCTTCTTTTTCTCCCGGGACTTTTCGTAGCTCAGATCTAAAGAGTAAAATCAACAAGGCCCTAATAACAGAAAGGGTACACACTCCTCTCAAGACACCGGCGGGGTAAAAAGCGCCGCTGGGCCAATGGGAAAGTCGGGCTTTTCTAAGGTTCAATTCAAATGCGGTGTATGTAATATGTTTGTACACTACATTGATTTGGCCATTCGGTTTTCTCTTTCCACATAAATCGAATTATTTTTTAAAAAATTACTCATTTATTTAGTTATTTGAATATCAACTAAATCATTGAATATTAAATTGTGAAATTTTTATGTTATCTGGGGGTGTTGAACTTGATATTTATTCATTACCGATGATGATAATTTTCTTAAGCTTTAACACCTGTCTAGCCAGTTAGCTCATTTTCACAGTCGTATTACCCCGAAGGCAGACACACTGAAGATGGCACAATTTCATGTACACGCTTTGATAATTTTTCTTTTCTTAAACTTTTATCGGCTATTAAATGGATATTTGAAAATTATCACCTATCAAATAAGAATTTGAATATTTCCTTCCTAAGATTGACGTTTCTTAGTCTAATTCTATTCGAGTGAGTGATTTATATATGGTCAACTCTACACATCCATGCACAATTATACAGGATAGTGCTATAACATCACGCAATTTGCCTCATATTCATCATGTAACCCAAGTTAGACAGCAGGGGCCGTCAACAGCTTGGTCATTGAAGCCTCCCAACTCATGTAGTTTTTAAACCTAGGCACACTCTCATTAATTCTTAAAAATATTCTTTTCTATTTACTCACTCATGAAGAGTGGTTGAGTACACGATGTTCCTCTAATACCATTTACACATACTGAATGGCCCTCTCCCAGTATACATTCACTCTAATAAATACATTCACTCATAATATACACAAACGAAAATACAAAACAAGATATCTACGAAGTACTACATACATTAAAACATTTCTTTAAAAAAAGCGGAAAGGGGATCCAAAGACTAGCTGCCGTGTTCAAGCACAATCCTCATTTCAGGTGGCATTCCTACACGCTACAAATTAAATGGGACACATGGATCAACCTTCCTCTATGTGTCAGAACATCCGCGGGCTTTGGCTCAAAAATGTCTGTGTGCTGATTCTATTGCGTGAGTACGATCCCCCAACAATTCAGATCCTCCGAGGATGAGCACCTATTGACCGAGCGCTTGATACGTGAGAGCTTCTCTGCCGATTCGGCCCATCGACTCTGCCATTTCGTTTAATCACGTTTTAAAGCATTTAAGCGTCGTAGGACCGGATTGCGGTTAAGTCGGGAGGTTGGGACGTCTTGCCCTTATTTATCTAGCCTGCTTTTCGTTACCCTCATGAGTTAGTGTATTGGGATCCAGACAACAACCACTATTTTCCCGAATCGCTCAAAGTTATGATATCTCTCCAACAAAAGAGTACCCAGGAGGACGTTAAAAGTCATGATAGCTGTCGTTAGGTCCGTAGGTTCGGGTTATTCCATTTTAGTGTAATTGTATATCTATTTTTACTCGTACAGTTTATTGCAGTTTGCCGTTTACACAGAGTCAAAAAACTCGAGGCTTGTTTATGATAAAAACAATTTTTTCAGCCAAAAAATGATCCTTAAAAATAAATTACTCAGCTAAACAAAGAGATTTCAGATTTCACCAGTATTTTAGGATTCAGAAGAGAGAATCCTTCGACAAACGTTGAGAATGTTAGATATTTTTTGTAATCATAAAAATGATGGATGTTCTATGTTTTTTCTTTTTCTTTTGATTTTATTTGTTAGTGACAATTTATCTTACACGTTAGAAGAATAACAATCACCAGTTTTGTGACAAGGGACATGTTTAATACTATTTAAATAAAGCAAATTAATTAAGAGAGGATACAAAGCACAAATTCCATTGGGTGTTGCGGCGAGGGTTCATAACTACTTTACAATAGATTTTTTAAAATTATTCTCATATAAAATTTCAAGGGTAATGCCGGGAATTGAACACAGAACTGCTAGCGTGGCCAACACGAATCGGACGTGAAACTGTTTATCTCAGCAGATATCAATCCTACAATTTTCCTTAAGTTTTTAATGTATTTATTTGATAAAACAAATTAATTCTCGACAACATTTACTTCATTACCATTTTTGAAAAAGCTAATAATTTCTGAAATACTTGCAAAAATTTGGTAAAAATAAGTATTTTAACAGTAAAAATTGAAGCCTTTTGAACATGAATATAGGGTATATTCGTGCACCACCAATTCAATTACTGTAAAGATCACAAGGTTGGCCCAAATGTTTGGATAAACTGTATAATAGTTCAAGTTGTTTAGTCTGTATATTAGTTCCTCTGTTGAGTCAATTGTGAGATTTCATACAGACCTCTGTAAGTGGCGAGAAGCCGAAACGCGTCTGACTGGCCAAAACAGAGACCAAACTAAAAGTTCATTACCTTGAACGTAAGAAGAAATCGACAGTAATGTATTAGAATAAATATTTCAGCATAAGGCATCTAAAATATGCTTTTTCCTTAACACTTTAAGTTTGGAGTAACCATATTAATCAGAACATAATCACTCTACAAATCAACAGTGCAAGTGTTCAAATAATTACAACTGCGTAGAAAAGTTGAAATCATAACAAAAACAGTGAGCCGTCGATTTGAAGTGTAGTCTCGTCCTTCCTTTTTTCTCTCATCTTCTCATCCAGCGGGCCTTGAACGGGAGGGAATAAATTAGAAACGGAGGACGAGGTGAGACGAGGCACGAAATGAAATTTGACGCATGGAATGCTCTCCGGCCGTCGTGATCTATGTGTTTACCTGACGTGGGTGGAAGCGCGCAAAGAGACCAATCACACACACACACACACGCACACACACACACACACACACACACACACACACACACGCACACACACACACACACACACACACACACACACACACGTACACACACACACACACACACACACAGAGTTTTATCTGATGCCAGGTTTCATTACCGGGCGCATTCCAGTTTAAAGTGGGCAGCGGCCACGTAAATGGAAAGGCCGACGTCCTAATTAAATCATGAACCCCATAAAAATCATACGGGAGCATTTCAAACGGGACCGCAGAACTCAAAAGGCCTCGATGGATCGACAAACTTTTTGACCAATCAACAGTTGACATATATGACGAAACCTCTACTATCCTGAAAATCCCTGCATACAGAATCGAACTATGACACAACAAATTTTAACAAATTGGACTGTAAACTTTCGTTTAAAATCGCTAACAGATACAATAGGTCGACAGAAAATGATCTGTTTATTTAATTATTAACATATAAGCTTTCTTGTTTCACTTATAATTAATTATTATTACTGCATTTTTCCTTTAAATTAACCTTTTTTATTTTTTTTAAATTTCAAACTAAACACTATTTAACATCAAATGAACAGTGAAAACGAACATTCTTTGATTTCAAATTAACCTTTTTAACTTCAAATATACCTTTTTTTAATTTGAAATTTTCTTTTTTTAATTACAAATTAACCCTTATTAATTTAATTAAAGACAGTAGTTTTCGTGTAGTAATTATCGTGAATTATTATGTATGGTGATTAGTGACCGTTAATTGATAATTATTATTATATTTTTCAGTTAAATTAACCATTTTTAACTTCAAAATAACCCTTTATAACTTCAAATTAATCTTTCTGATTTCAATGTAACCCTTTTTAACTTCAAATATACCTTTTTAAAATTGAAATTACCCTTTTCTTTAATTTCAAATTTACCTTGTTTAACTTAATTAACGACATAATTATTTTATTTCTAATATTCTCTTTTTATTTTAAATTAACCCTTTTTAATTTTAAATGAACCCTTGTTAACTTCAAGCTTATTTTTTTTAAATTTCAAAATAAATACCATTTAACTTCTATTTTTTAATTTTAAATTAACCTTTTTAATTTCATCTTAACTCGTTTTTTAAAGCATTAACACACTTAAAGAAGATAAAATTTAATTTAATTAACACACATTAAAAAAAATTAATTTGAAATTGAGGGAAAGCTATATTTGTTTTTATATTTAATATTACATATCTTTTAATTTTAATTGTATTTAATTTGTATGGGATCTTTAGATAAGAACAATTGTATATATTTTTAGAAAACTGTCAAAGTAAAAAAGGAATCTTTTTTCAATTTTCCCTTTCCTTAAGTTTTTTAATGCTTTAAACAAAGGTTAACTTGAAATTTGAAATGGGTAATATGAAGTAAAACAAATTATTTGAAATGAAAAAGGGTTAGTTTGATGTTAAAAACAGGTACTTTGAAAAAAGGTATTGTGAAAAAGAAAAAAGTTAATTATTATTAATATAGAATGATGTTATCCACGCAAACTCTGCTAATCGTCTTAAGTATAATAAAACCCAGATGATTTCTGACGAAAATAGTAGCTTTCTCGACGCTGTATGCTATTTCGTTGCGGCTTGCATACCACATTACAGTTACTTATAGTGAAAGTGTTGACAAAACTGGAACTAAAAAAACAAGTTGGATTGAAAAAAAAGTGGTTAAAGGTTATTTCGTTGAAGGTACTTTTTAAAGAAATGATCAACTCAGCATTTCGGCTTATCTTTTTTGAAACTTCGGGGTGCTGTATTTTCTATTATTACAGCAGGGGAGTTTAATTTCTGCATGCACCAATTACATTATGACATGCATTTAGCAAATCAATTCAGTTCGTGGTCGTGAATGTACATTAACATTAGTTGGTCAGTACTACATGTTATTTTAAATGGTGATTATGTTTTCTAAAGAATTTACTGTTTCTATCTTATTTACATTTATCAATTTAAAAACATATTATTAAATCAAAATAAAGTTCATGTT